TTTGTTGGTGTACTATGATGGTGATCATGGCACCAATGTTAATATCAAACTATTCTTGTGTTTAGCTCTACCGTTCTTCCCACCACTCTGTCCGCATTGGCCAATTTGCAAAGTACAAAAATTTCCCTCAATGGCACTTCCGAACCGTTACGACCACGTCTGAATGAAGAGGAGAAAATCACGTGTCCCCATGTATATCAATCAGAGACCGGGAGTCCCATACTTCATCATTCAGAGCCACCGGCTAGTCCCATCGATCGTGTGCAGTCTGAACCACCACCACACAGTCCGGTGAAAGAAGAAATGTCCATGATGATCCCCGCCCTTTCCGAGCCCGTTCAAATATTGCCGAATATGAATACCTTCGCTAATGTTGAGCCGGAATCCAACGAGATTCAACCACTCGAAGTGATCGAAACATCGATCGCTGAAACATTGGAACCCACGATTGAACCTGTACCTATATTACTGGAGGTAACTATGCAAACTTTCGTACCTTCTTTAATTATGGTTATTGTCCGTTGTTGTTGTTTTCAGTTAGTCCACTTTCAAAATGGTTGTTGACACATTCATTTGTTTCTGTAAATCCAATCTTACTCGCATCGCTTTCTTGCGTTCTTCTGCATCAGCCTCCTGTTTGGACTACTGGTCTTCATCTGGACGACGTGTCGGCTATTGATTCTGATCGATCGGTACAAGTATCACCAGTATCGGCCGATTTGGTTGTTAAGACACAATCAAAAACTGTTTCCTCTGAAGGCCTAGATGAGTCAGGCATTCAAGTTCTCGCATCTCCCACAGAACATTCGCCAGACGTCACGCATTCATCTGATTACCAACCGACCACAGCCCGACTATCCGATATAATGGGTGAAAAAGGATCGGAGTTGGAGGAGTTGGAATCGGCAGACGAATTAAAGCCGACGGAAAATCAAGTGAGTCTCGGTCTTTGATAGTGTGTGCTTTGGCGTAATCCGTCAAGCATTTCAACAAGCACATACCATCATTAAACGCTTACACCCATTGCTTATTTTGAGTTTTTCTCAAACCTGTGATTGAATAGAGGTATGTGCGAATTGTCATCGATTTTATGTGACCGTCCTTTACGCTTCACCCTGACGCACAGCCCTCAATCAGATATACCTTCTGAAAGTGATAGGCTGATTTATCCCTCTTGTTTGGGCTCACCAGCATGGCAAAGGTACCGTCCTGTCCGGGATTTCCTTCCCATTTCCAACATGTGACTGTTTAGTTACAAATATGGATTAGCGTTGTTGAATTTTAAAACGTAATGACAGGGTTTTTCAGTTCAGTATATATAACCTGCAACCATGTACTTCCCTACGGCTTTTTTTGTTGCCGTTTTTTAGCTACAGACTGAAATGCTGGAAGCCGTGTCAAGGTAAAAATAGATAATTTAGATGGAGTAAAGGTACAAACCGATGGAGCGTCACTGTTTGCGACACAACCACATCAGTCAGTGTTTCTAACCAATCGGTTATACAGATACCGTGGATCCTATCGATGAAGTATGATCAAACCCAAGCGGGGGATTTCATACCGTCGTTCATGTTTGACCACTCTTGGCGTTTTTCACCCAGCAGGCATCACACGGCCTGGCAATCTCTCTAATGCCACGCACTAACCAACTTAATCTATGAAGGCTGACCATTTGCTCTAGTAGACAACTACGATTGCCTAAAGCTCTTTACGTTATCTGCTTATTGCTTGTTCGGTCGCCCCATCAGACTCGTGCAATGCGGTGTAGACGGCGCTGTTTGAACACCGTCAGTCTACCTTTATCCTGTTTTTAGAATGGCCACGTCTCTGCATTATATAGCATATCTGGCTGAGCTACTACTGCCTATATTCGACTCTGTTTAAACAGCCAGATTTCGCAAGAGATATCTTAATTTGGCAAATGCCAGTGGAGCCTTCTGTAGACGTGCCGATGCTTCATCGGTGATGCGTCCACTTCTATTACTTCCTCAATCAGCTGGGGTTGGAAGCAGAACTGACCCTGAAACAACGTTGTATACCGGCAGTTGTCATTTTCTTTCTGTTAAGTCAAATCACAGTAGGATTTATGCACCCAACGGAGAAAATTTTCAGCTTTTTCCATGAGGTACGTATATTTTGAACGAATTACAATTATTTACACATTGATCCAACTGGTGGGTTAGTCCCAACCGACACTACATTTGCAACAGAATTAAAATGAAAAAAATAGGTAACTTCTATCACGCCGCGTTGCAACAAGAACAATACGACACTCTTACATTGTTTGTTGTTCTGTCGGAAGAAATCGTTCATTAGCCGTATCTCAAATACCTATTTTAGTCACTGAAGGTTCGCCCAGTGTTCTTTTGTTCGTCAGGGTGAAAATCGACCTTTTCACACTACTAATCGTTCTGTATACCTATGGTTAGATAACCACTGTGCAAACAGTTTTCCTGTGGGTTTATTCAAAGTTCTCGAAGGATGTTCACACCTGTATCCGGCATCTTTTATCACATCATAGCTGTTCTAATCACGGGGTTATTTCTGGAATCATTGAGTTGCCTGATTGGTTTCTGGTAACCCTTCCGAATACAACGTAGATAGCTTAGTCCTCTACATGTTAATCGAAATGACCTAGCTTGACCGTTATAAGCAGCCCGTGATAAAATCGTACGTTCAACAATATGAGGAACCGCTCAGTGATCTACGACTGGCTTTCACAGGCTCCTCCATTTTGCTTATTGCATAGAATAACTCCTTAACCCGAACCGTCGCTGAGAAACAAGGAAAACGTACGTAATCGGCAGAAAATGAATGATTGAGACTTTTCAGTCTATTTGGTTTTTTTTCTTTCGAAACAAAGAAATCAACCAATTAGTTGCAAAGGCTTCATTTGTTCGTCATGTATTTCTTTTTTCTTTTTGAAGAACACGAGAACTGACATGTTTTTCGCACTACTAATCGCAACGCAAAGGACACAAAGACCAGCCTTTTGTGTTTCTCATGATCGGTATCATCCATATGTTGTTGGTGTTTCACACTTGTCAACGTCGATCATAATGTTCGATTCAGGTTCGGTTCAGTCATATAGCATACAACTCAGACCTAGGTAGCATTTGAGAAGAAATGTTGCAACGCCTTTTGCGGCAACTCATCGCTTCCTCGTACTATTCATCAAATGAGATTCCCTGAAGTCTATAAATTGTCAGGTGCATAGTGATGAGTGGTGGTTACCTTCCTTCCTCATTAATGGACTAGAGTTCGAGATGCAACTAAGGGATGCTTTTTCCGTTAATCATAGAGACCATCAAAAGACACTAAAATAGACCTACTAAGTAATCAGTGGCTCGTTGAGCGTGTTAGACAATCTCTTCGGTGCCAAAGAGAGCTCATCATTTGATCAGAAAGTGAAAATTTGAAAAAAATGCAAGAAATGGTGATCCGGATTCTCCAGGAGGCTACTCTGCTAGAATAAACCGGTATAGGTACTTGAACGTGCAGAATAGCGGAACACAATCGAAAAACAGTTCGAAGTCCTTCGCATACTGTTTACCTAAGCTATCCGCGTTTCGGCTGTGTTACATGTAGTTATATGACCTGTTTCCGTTTCTCAGTGCTTTGTCTCCCCCCTCTCTCAAAAGTTGCAGACGGATTCGATTCCTATGGAGCCTGTTTCGGTCGCATGTCCCGAACAAGAAGTTCAAGAAATCATTCCTGATGTCCATTCAGAGGAAACCATAGCAGTGGTTCATAGTACCAGTCCTTCGCCAGATAAACAGTTAAGGGTTCGTTCAATGGATTCAGCGGAGCCATCCAATTTGGTTCGGGAATCGCACACTGGTTCACTTCAACTACTTCCCATCACTTGTACTACTGAAGAACTACCTTCTGTCGCAGAACCAACCGCAGAGTATGTGGACCAATGTGATTCAGGAGTACCGGAAGAAACAATAGAGCAGCCACACATGGTTATGGAATTGGAATTGAGTGAACCATACCCGGTGCGAGTCCAACCATCAGACAGCCTTACTGAGCGTCGCACTTCCTTCAGCCGAACCTATCCGCCCCGACCGGAAATCAATGGTTCACATCAGGCTAATTCCAAAGCCCTGATGTCTTCCAGTCAGGTCAACTCTTCCCATCCACTCAGTCGGGCTGCCCATTTGCGTGAGAGTGATACTTCTCAGCCTCAGTCAGGCTCATCCGGATCTCGCAGTTCTCGGTTCTCAATGATTGAACTGTCGCATGTCAATGAACGTCCCCTTCACGCTAGCTGTTCAGCTCTTCCTCCCACGCCACAAGTCCATGTGAGTTTTTTTGGAATATTTTTCAATTTGTCCAATTTATGTTGTACCTCGTTTTCGACCACTTATAGTCCCATGTTTTGTCCAGTGTCCGCTCTGTTTCCTGTCCACTCAAATATTTGCAGAAAATGCTTGTCCCAGTCGATTCAAGATGAGTTATTAATGGTTTACGGATTGTTGAACATTTGGAATCAAGGCTCGTACAGTTTCAATCTCGTCTCCATTTCTACGCTTTAAAAAAAACAGATCACATTATTCTTATCTAAAGATTGAGATGATCAGTATTCTCCGCATGATGAAAATCTTAGCAACTGTTGAATCGCAATAAGGGTTGATTATGATAGCGATTACGTAATAGTCTGGTTAGCATCCGGCGTCACTGTTGGTTAATAGAATATTTATAAAATAATGCTTGTTGTATTATTGTTTCTTTAACTAGGTCCCTGTAAATGATCGAGGCTTTCATTTGCTTAGACTGTGAATGCTATTATTTTAGGGGTACACTGTTCTTCCTTACTCGGAATATTCCTTTTAGGTTGATAGTGTTGTTCTCCCCCTGCACATACTCGTAGTTGATGGGTAGAATTGTTTGGATCATCTGTTGACTCACGTTTTCCGTAACAGTTAGGTGAAAGGGGACTGAATATTGATTCATCGGTGTAACCTAGGCGAAGCAAATTACGGGATCGATTGGTTACTTGCAGATTTGTGGTGCATTATCTTTTAAAGAAACATGGAATAATGCTTTTGTTTACAAAGCAAACGAAGTCTGCGCTAAAAGCTGATAATTGTAGTGTGGCTGTTTGATCGTCATCAGCCGTACACGTTCATTGATCTAATGATAATCGAATATAGAGCTCACACAGGAAGAATGTACCGATGTAGCCCACCTCATCCATAAGGAGCAGGTCAAAAACAAATTTTTGTTACACGGTCTCACCAGGATCTAGCGACAAAACACTTAACCCGCATTCCGAGTTGCTGTTATTACTCATCATGTAGCAGTTCGATCTTTGCAATTTGAGCCCAGAGATTTTTTTCTGACGCGTTTTTTGTGAACGATTGGTGCGCGTATACCACCTACTATTGTTCCTTACACCGTTATACTTCCGAGCATAGGCATTCGTACTGTGAAATACGATTAAGTATCAAGTACGGTTATCATTCTGACTGAGTAGTGTTTTAAATAAAACCTTCTTAATTCTTTTCTGGTTGTTGGAAACACTAAGCTGCACCGCTCTTGATCTCATTCAAGGTTTTACTCTTTATTCAGGATGTTATCTGATTTTGTCGTTTTATTGAAATCGATTCAATCATGTCATATTTGATCTAGAGTGACCAACGAGATGGCTGAATTTCAGTTGTGCTCTACGTGTTATTTGCTTTGAATTTCGTGCCTACCTTCGACAATGAAAGAGAACCACCAGTATTAATTGCACTGTCTCAGACACTCTAATCTCGTAAATGGACATATTCGATTTGTTCCTAAACGTCCCAACTCGCCTAATACACCGTGTTCTGTTATCTTTTTACAAAAAATGTGCAGAACCATAAGGGTCTTTTTGAATGATAGCAATTCCTTTGAAATTTCAGATTAAAAATAGTTTCTTTCCATTCTCGTTCATTGTGTTTTCTATTTCATAACTCTTCTTGAGGACTACTTTTGTGGCTTGCTACAGTTTACATTTTATCGTAGTCGACTATATCTAGTTAAGGTATCCTTCGGATACCATCTGTTGACACCTGTTCAGACTCTGTCCGTTAGGAATGGCCCTATGCTGAGTAGGTACGCTGATAATGTTGCTTTTGCCTTACCCCGAGAATTATGCTCTCCGTTATATTCGCCTGGATCTATCACCGTTTACTGTGTGTTTCGCCATACTGGAAGCCGTCTAACTGTGCTGAGTTGGGTTCTCTTCTTAGGGGTTAACCGTGTCTCGATTCCTTTGAGAGTTGCAACCGTTAAGAATTAGTTATGCAATCCTCAGTCTGGGATTATCATTTGAGTATTTGGAATTTATCCTCAAACGTTCCCACTCTTGGTTTCATCACTAAACATTTTTCCACGTTGGAACTGCTATCTATTCCCCCCTACGTTTGATCAGAAATCCATGCATGATGATCTTATCCCAAGTTGGCTCTTCGCTTGCCTTCCCTGGTTTAAAACCAAAGTATCTCCTTGTGCCTTCCAGATCACTCACTCTGTTATTAATTTATCCTGGATTCACATGATCCACTACATTGCCATCGGAAGACCAGAACTTGATGACGGGCTATTCTCTGATTTCTCACAACCTCGGCACCATGCCTTATCCGAGTTCATCTCTGGCTCATCCATTCACCCGAAGTGCAAATGCTCCGGTTCAATATCACGTCTCATCTATCGGGGCCTTAGATGGTTCATTACTCCAAGTTCCGGGGCTTAGATTACCGGTTTCCATCACTGAACAGCAGGTCCTCGTGACTATGGGGCTTCCCCCGTCTGCTGTTCATCACACGAAAGTTTGTAATAAGAAAAATAGCATTGCGCTGTTATAGAAGCGTATCGTTTGTTTGTTGTTCCTTATGGCGCTCGGTTTCCATGTCACAGATGGTCTTTCGTGATTTATTCAAAACATTCGGTTCCCTCTGAATAGGTTATTCATTTCAAAGGGTTTCCAATCCTTGTCTTTGATGGGCTTTAGCTACTGGATATGCACATTCGAGTGTAATGGCGCGATTCCTTGACTTGATAGATAACCTCTCTATTCGTTTGTATCTGCAAGATGATCGTTTCTGTTTTTAATCTTTTACTTTCGTATCGCGGTCATCCGCCTATTATTGGTGTACTCCTATCTCTGACTTCAAAGTGATGGTTTGACTGTGGATGCACATTCCTACACGTGTGAATCTGAGTCACTCACACCGTTCTGATTAGGTCTGAAATCACAATAAATGTAATTCAGACTCGATACACACGGTAGTGCACATGATAATGTTTCGTCCGATTGTCACAGTCTGAGGAATGCTGTGTGACGAGGCACACAAATATCACCGATCCAGTTTCGGGAAACATGGTCCCCTGTGGGGTCAACTCGGACGACATTGCCGAGCACAGAAAATGGATACTTGGTAGCACAAACGGTGTCTAGCTTCACCGATGATCAACAAACTAGATCGATCCCACATAAAATTGCAGTTCTTTTTATCCTGTTTTCTCAGTCATTCACTCTTTACGGCATTTCAGTTTATCCGATGTGATCGATCGACGATGTTTCATCAACCACCTAATGTTTCCATTGATTTTCGTTCACTTTCCAGATGGGCGCCTGTTTCTCTCTGGTTTTTGAAGGTTGCCCTTTGAAAATCAATTCAACAGCAACTTGGATCAATCCGATGAACAACGGTATGGATGAATATAATTATAATTTTCCACCCCAACGCTCATGTGGATGATGTCTAACCTGTTTTGCTCTCAACTACCGTGTTTTTTAGGTCAGGTCATATTGTTCGGTACAAACGATGGAATATACTACTTGAATCTAAAGGATCTGGCTGACAGTTCACTGGAATTGGTAAGTTTGGAGGTCTGTCAATTATTCCCCGGACATACCCTACTCTTTTATTAAACCGGGTTACTGGTCACTTCGATCGGACATTTTCGCTCCAACTGCATTGCGTTCATTTGAGAGATATCACGATAGTTCGAACAAATTGTGTCGACAGGACCGACAGTTACCAGTTAATTGCTCCGTGGTATACTTGCCTTGATAGAGGTCATCCCTTTAATCGTTCTTATCGCGAGTATGACCTTACAATATAGATGGACTATTATCTAAAAGCAACTTTATCAATGAATCATGAGAATTCTTTTCTGATTGGAGAATTCACGTCCATTCTCGCACAATCCTAATACTTATTAGTATACTTTTAGTTTCTGTCTCAAGATGAACTGAACCGAAAACAATGTGTAAGATTGACAGAACAACACGAGTAGCGAACAAGCTCGTTTTGGATAACTTCATCCTCTGGCTAATACAGTTATATACATTTAATGAATAAACGTGCAACAAATAATGTCAGAACGAAAATGGACGGCAAGGGAGTGGTGAGAAGTGGTTGGGAAAAAGTGGAAACCAAAAAATTGTTGATCCGTGGTTTTGGAATGGGGAATCGTGAAAACAGAGAAAGGAGAGGGAGGGGAAAGAGGGATGAAACAGGAAGGGAGAGGTCACACACTTAGGTCAAAGGGTCATGGGTTAATTTACGTTGAGTGTCGGGTCTGGGCCTGGGTCTGGGTCAAAGCCCTACAGTTACCCTGGTTATAAAAAGTGAAACCGAACCCGCGATAGATGGTTTGGTCGGAAAGTGACTTTCGACTCGGTCAACCACTCTACTCTGGCGCTGCCCCCTCTGAAGAGTGTGACTGAGAATTTTATTTCAATTGTGCGATCTCTTTACACTAAGAGCCGAAGCCGAGCCAGAGCTTAAGGTAACTTTTACCCCGAGTTCACCACAGAAAGCGGTGTTCGTCAAGGTTGCCCTTTCTCCTTTTCTATCAAACTTCGTTAGAGATTTGATCCTAGGAACGTCCCTGTCCTCGTGCGAGGATAGTGGCATCGATTTGCTCCCGGGTGTCAGGCTGTCTGATCTGGAGTAAGCAGACGACATTGTGCTACTAAGTGAAGATCCAGGTAAGTTGCAAGCGTTTCTGGATAGTTTAAGTGCTAGTGTGGCCATGTTCGACATACGTTTTGTATCTTCTAAATGTAAAATGATGCCACAGGATTACGTTAGTCCAGCTCCCAACCTCACTCTAACCAAAGAAGTAATAGAGGAAGTAGTCAGGTTTCGCTATCTAGGTAGTCAAATCTGAGCTGATGGGCTCATCACTGATGAGGTGTCGGCACACATTCAAAAGGTTCGATTGGCATTCGCCAATTTGAGACATCGTCAGCTTCGTCGCGACATCCAGTTGGCTATAAAGAGTCGAGTATATGCATCAATAGTCCAATCAGTGCTATTTTGTAGTGCTTTTAAAGGGACAGTATAAGGATAAACTGTATGTGTTCAAACACCATTGTCTACACCGCATTATGTGAGTCTGGTGGGGAAACCGGTAAAGTAAGTAGACTTTTAGGTAATCATGATCGTCCACTGGAACCTGTGGTTGACCTCCATAGCCTACAGTGGTTTGGAAAGATGTTGTGCATGTCATTAAATGGGTGACCGCGGCGAATAATGTTTTCCGAGGCAGGCATCGGATGGGAAAAGGTCAAAGGTGATCAAACTAAGATCAGGCTTGAGGGGTATGAAAACCCTAACCGGTAGATTGGGTCACATAAGTCTCGTTCGCGTTCCTGGATAGGGACTCCGAGGTCATGCTAACCATTGGTTAGAGACGCTGAGTTCATCCAATGCTTCTCGCTTTCCCATCGTTCTTCATTCTTCAACATGCTCATTTAACCCACTTAATTGCGAATGACTAAAAGTAAAATTTTCATTCGATTTATCACGGAGATTGAATCAAATTGAATTGAATTAACTGAACACACCCATCAATACGTTCTGAATAAATGCTGCTGGGTATTATATTTTGTCGAGTATAGTAGTCACCAAGTGTTCTTCTATGGTTTCAGCTGCTTCTTGTTGCAAAACCTATTTTTCCCTACCAGACCAACGGAGAGTATATCAAACAGTTAATAGCAATCGATAAGTCATGTATGCTGTCTGACTACCTTTCAGGTAATTCATATAATATATCCATCTGTCTATGTAATGGTAATACACATCCTGCACGTGGAACAGTTCCATACCGTGGTAGTTCGCAGGATCTAGTCCGTGACAGTAAAGTAAGACTTTCTCTATGTTTCACTCAATTCCATAGCGTCATTCAATGGCAGATACACGGAATCTGTTTTGGTTGATTGTTTACCGTCCCTATTCGATCCTCGGTTGTCCTCAGTTACTGTGGTTGGACGCGTGCACATACCCCATTGTCATTATCAATGCCAGCTAGATGGTAAATAGATAATCTGACGTCGATTGTGTGGTGCGTGGTTTACTTTGTGTTTGACGGGGTCTAATTAGCGTGAAATTGTGATTTTTACATTTTGGTAGTTCATTTGCATGTCATTCAGTTAATCCCACAAAATTTCATCATTGGTACTTCTGGTTCAGATTCAATCATTTTCTTAAGGAATTGGTAAAATTCGCAGCAGCGCACTGTCATTTGGTTAGGTGGATTTGAGATAACGTAACTAGGAGCATTCTGTTTGTACAATCTGTTTGGCGTCATTTCGCTACATTTGTACACATGCTTCCTACTGTCGTTCATTATTCGTTATAAGGACAAAATGGGGGAGCAAATTTATTAAACAGCGAACAGCTAGCCATTTTTTTTGCACAGTTCCAATTGATGATTGTGGATAATTACTTGCTCTAATAACTTCTGTGTAATTGTAATCATCTGTGATCCTCCTTCTCTCAATGTTTTTCCATAATCGATAACTTTAAGTCTTGTGTTGGATGGATTTTGTCTTCATTTTTAAATATTTGTCCGTTAATTTATGATATTGTATCGAACGCTGTTCGATCATCCGGGTACGTGACAGTCTTTTCTTTCTGTCATATGGCTATGCGTTCATATTTCACATAGGTTCCATGATTGATAAAATCGAGAGGGAGCGTAGTGGTTCTATCATAGACGTTATCTTTGTCTGGATGGTCAAGAAAGGGACTCCGAGATGGGAAGTCAGAAGCTAATCGTTCAGCGGCTTTCCCCACCATTAGGCGATTTATTCGCACCCACCCGAAAATACCACGGGGTTTATACCTGTGTTTCGCAGTTTTAATTATTTGCTCGCTCACCTCGTCCAACGGTTCCTCAGAGAACGCATTTCGTACCCTGTTGTATGACTTCCGAACTAGCCCGATCTATTTCTGCAATCCCCACTAGATTTTATCTTTCCTCATGGTCTGTTGAAACGAACAATCCTGACACTGTTCAGCATAGCAGTTGGTGAATAAACAGCGTTTATGCCGCTATCAAATGTGTTCAATAAGTACGTCGTCGCGTAGCACACTGGCCTATGACCGCGTTTTATGCGATTACTGGTAGTATCAATTAAACTAGAAGATACCATTCGGCTTTACCTTTTGCGCTTGATTTCAGTATGAAGGCATAGAAACAACCTTCGCCCATTTTTATTATACCGTGTGTCTTGGTACGACCAAAAGATCAGTTTGGACACCTCTTTGTTGCAAAAGTTACCTTATTAGCGATAACCTGGCATTTAAACGATTGATCTTATTCATGCTCCTTTCGTTTTTGCCCCCCCCCCACAGCTCTTTCCTCGCCGCTGTCTGTGGCTTTCGGTTGTACGTGACACAATGATGTCGCTTTCTGGTCGGCATCCACAACTATACAGTCACAATTTGATTTCCTTGATGAAATTGAAGTCACAGGGTCATCCAATGAACGGGAAATTGAATAGATTATCAAATTTATTTCCCAGGTACTTTTCGATATTATGTGGTATGGTTTGATGTACAATAGAATTATGAAAACTTGTGATTATTTCCACCTGTAGTATTCGTTGCCTTCAGATATTATCTTAAATCATCAAAGGCCTTCATTGGACTAGGCACTCCGAAGCGGGATATTTAGGACAACAGTTTTTATTGTGAGGATTTGTTGAACAAGGAGAGATGATTGCTAAGCTAAGGATATCAACGTATACCGCAAAATTGCATCATAGTCCAGCTGATCGTCTTTCATTTTTAAACTCTGGATGCGCTTTGCACAATTCAAATCACTTGCTTCCATTTTTTTTATTTGCGAAGGTCAAGTTTACGTAACAACTAATCCCTATAAGCAACCGTTTTACGTCATGTCGTGTGTGTAACATAAGACTATGAAAACCGGGTATCCGTTTGTGCAGCTTATACCTCGCGCTTCAGATTCTGCGTTGGTGATCCCTTTTTTTACTGTTCGCTTCTTTTAGTGCATGGGAGATATCGATTTTCGGGTTGTGAGACAGTTTGGCGACAACCATAACTTCCTTTGTCAGAATTAGTCTAATCAAGGCGGCATTTTCTCTTCCTTTTGCCGATTATCCGGTTGTCTTATCGATAACACTCATAAATCACGTCAAACCAGGACGGCGATTACTTTGTTTACATGACAGTGCTCTTCCCCGACGTTCGACCTTGGAGTGCAATATATAAATAGGTGTCTGAGCAACCGGTTTTTCCCTGATATGTCTGGTTAGGTCATGATATAAAGCTTTGAACTTCGAATGTGAGGATCACCCGGTCAAAAGCGGCTGCATCGTTAGCCTTATTGGGCCAGTGAATCGGGATTTATTTGTCTTTCGTTCAAGGTATCACAACTGTATTGTATTGTATTGTGTTACGGGGCAATGAAATTCCCTTAATACACATTTTGTTAGATTGTGCCTACCGATGCTTTTTCGTACGGTAATTTCGTTTTGCAAAGTTGTTCTAGTAACAGCTTGGCCGTGAATGTTTATGCATCCAGCGGATAGCTATATAATCCTTCAGGGAATAGAGCTGGCACCGTTTTGTTGCCTTATCATTCTTCCCTTAAATGTTGATGATCTGTATCACCACATTCGTCCGCTCAACGCAATTTTGGACACTCGCTTTTCGTATGCAAACACCCTAAGGCCACAAACTTGTTTGTTGCTCACTTCTTGGGTTTTGTTTGATGGGTGTGTCACTTCAGAGAGTAATCTAGGATACTTTTCCGGACTATTGACAGTGGATATATGCATAAGCGTGCAACGCACTGTTTCGTAACCAACGCCTCGGCTGTCTGTCGGTGTCGGTATTTCACTAACGCCCAGGCCAATCACCAATAGAGTAGAAAGTGAGGCATTGCCTGCTCCCTCGTTTGATGGACAGAAGATAATTTGTATGACTCATCATTTTGTGGTTCACCTGCTCACTCTGTGAAACATATATACACACACACAGGGGCGCGATCTGTGTCGACGTCTTGTGTGCTTCCTGCATTGATCGGGTACTAAGCTTATCTTACCTTCCACTCGTGCACACCTATTACTCAGACGATTCTCTCCGTCCCAAAAGATTCCCGACACCAAAGGCTGTCGTCGTGTCAGTGTTACTCGCAGCCCATTCAACGGAGCGAAATATTTGTGTGCTGCTATTGGCAATGAAATACTTGTCATGGAATGGTTCAACACAATCTCATCCTTCATCAAGATCAAACGAGTAAGCGTTTATTTTCTCACCCATTACTAAAATTCGGCGGTTTTTACTCATGAGTGTGCACCTAATCAATTTTCTTTTACATTTTGTTCCTTCATATTTGATAGCTGCTTTTTGTTTCTCCATTGCATTAAAGATCATGCTCTAAACTCAGTCAACATGAGTCGGTGTTGTGTTCCCATTTTGAACAAGCTTTCTAAAAATGATGTTTACCACTCACTTTTCTAAAACCGCGATTGAAGTAATCAGCTGGGAGTTTGTGATTGCATTTTTTGAACGTGTTCACTTCTGTGGCATTAAATCTTCCATTCAATCTGACGTTGCCTCTTCCTACCGTACCTGTGACCATAAAAGTTGACGGTTTACGATGTTGATTGGGGCCTGTGTTGTTTGTCACCAACTAGGCTGCTGCGGAGTGAAATGTTTGCCTATGCAGGTGGTGGATGGAAACAGGCCAAGGGTGATCAAAATGAGACCTGGCATGAGGTTATGAAAACCTTAACCAGGAAAGTCGATTGCATAGATTGCGTTAGGCTCCTTGGCTGGGGATCCCAGGATAATTGCAACCGGCGACTAGAGACACTGAGTGATATGGCTGGGTGTCGCATACAATGGCGTTCTTGTATCTTCTCAATTTCTGCGTACCCTTGGTCCACTGAAATTTCCCATTTTCTCGTTGACTCTGCTTTGAACTTTCCTGTCTTTCTCTTATTGTTTATCAAAATGGGTAGCCAAAAGACAGCAACCAAAACCGACGCACGAAAGTGTATGGGTAATGGTTGAACGAACTGAAACTGATGTTCTCACTTTACTCACAGCCACGTCACTTTATCCCTCGAAGATGCTGTTCGCCACTACTTTCAGGTGTTTGGTTTAAAATCCTAACTGGATATGGCTCGTNACGGAGGCTGATATTCGTTTTCCCCTATCTAGGCAGAAATGGGATTTTAGGAAACTGAAAAACGTAATCAGTGCAACCGAATAAGATGCGAACTCTATTAAAGTTAAAGTTGATATATATCTAATGATTCGATAGACCTGGCAAGATTCTCACGAGACGCATTCTGTTTTCATCTGCTCCGAGGTACTTTGATGTTCACATGAATTCACTCGGCTGATACGTGTTAGTTTGATGTCACTCTGCTTTCTATTGATTGATGATTATGTTGCATTTAAAGTAGATATATACAGAGTCATGAGAAATTATCACATTGATACAAAAGGGTTTCAATCGGGATAAACAGTTTTTCGAGGACTTCATGTACCCGATAAATTCCATTGATTTGCTACTTTAGTCCGAGTGTAGGTTAGCTGTTGGAATTCATTAGCTAAATTTGTTACAAGAAACGTAACTATTCGTTGAAATAATACACAACTCCGCGGTGTTGTTTCAATTCCATGGGAATCGTCCACCTTAAACTTGGGTACTTAATTTGATTTTTTTCCTTCTTCCATTCCCTATATGTCCGACAGGTTTTAGTTCCGGATATGCCTTCTCCTCTCCTTACATTCGATCTGTTCATCGTGAAGGAACGTCCACTCCCCCTGGTTTGTCTCGGTGTCTACCGGCATCATTCACGTCGTGGTCGAGAAAATCAGCGCTATCGATTACACTTGGTTGATTTGAACACATGCGCGCCGTTCTCTCCCACCTCCGACATGCTTATGACTCCCGGACAGTCTGCTCTCACAGTAGATCATCATCTTTCGGTAAACGACAAATCGTGCAAAGTGAATGGCGAGAATGAAACCGAGCAACCTACCAACGGAAAGCTGAGCGGAAGCGATTTGCGAAAAATCAAACAGAAGGTTGAATGTGAACGTCGCAACGCTCTTTTCTTACGTGAGTCACGACTAACCGAAACAGATTAGTTTGCGAAAAACCCACTAATTTCTCTAGTCTTGTCTCGTTTCGTTTTTTTTTCTTTTTCATTTTACTTTCTTTTATTGAATATGCAAAGATACAATTTTCAGGAAGGGGGACGCGGCCAATCAAAGGACTACCATTCATCAAACAATGGGGAAATTCACGCGGGGGTGGCGGAAGTCGAACACACCTCCTTTGGGGACGTCAGCA